TGAGTGTGTGGACAGGTGTCTTTTATACAGGTAACAAGTTCAAACAGGTGCAATTAATACAGACAATGAGTGGAGGATAGGAGGGCTTCTTAAAGACAAACTAACAGGTCTGTGAGAGGCAGAATTCTTGCTGGTTGGTAGGTGATCAAATACTTATTTCATGCAATAAAATGGAAATAAATGATTTAAAAATCTAACAATGTGATTTACTGGAATTTTTTTGCAGATTCTGTCTCTCACAGTTGAGGTGTACCTACGATGAAAATTACAGAACTGTCTATTCTCTGTAAGTGGGAAAACTTCAAATCGGCAGTGTATCAAATACTTATTTGCCCCACTGTATAAACTTCTGGAAGTAATAGTGGTAGTAGATATTCGTGGTCCTCATAGGACAAATCTAATGATGGTAATTCACAGAATGTTTATGAAGTGCCACCACTGGCTATATTAGAGGTGTTTCTATATTTTTGTCCTCCCCAGTTACATGCATGAGAGGGTCAGAGCCACACCTCTGAATATAATGTAGTCCACTACAGCACCACCTTTAACTATCACCTCAGTAATAAATATATAATTGAACTGATACATTTATGACAATTTCACCACAAAACAAACATTTTGAGCTTCATAGACACAAATGTTGAGGCAGAAGTGTTGCGTTGACATACGTACAATTGTACAGGTATACCTAATAAAGTGGCCAGTGAGTGTATCATAATAACATCTATTCACCCTCTAATAAAACATCCAGGCTAGCATCACTGCTAACATTGTCTACTTTGTTAACTCTCTAACATCCTAAACAGATGTGGTAAAGGTAGAAGGAGTTGGAGAGTTAATGGTAGAGGATCAGCTGGTCTATAAAAACTAGCACCACAGGCAGCTCGATAGTGAGATACTGTAATGAAAACTCGACTGGTACAACACATTTTTGGTGTGGTTGTGTTTGTACAGCGGACATCACTCAGAGTAATGGAGGCTCTGATTTTCAATGGGCTCAAGAAGCAGAAACAAGGAACCGGTTGTGGAAAGCTCGTCATGATGCCTGGTATGCTGCTCAGGCCCTCAGACCTGGCTGCAAGGTAAAGACACTCAGCTGCCAGTTTACCTATTTAAAAAAAAACAAAAAAAAACTTGGTTTCATGAGCTGGTTTCAATACTAAAAGACTTAAAAGGGTCTTACTGCTGTGAAAACACTAGTATTAGAAGTGCAAGAAGCATGTTGAGGGGCTTTAAGACAAGGAAAGTAAGACATGACATTGCAGCACTTTCTCCTTCAATGCACGGATCCCCAGTCATTGTATGTAACACTCTGAGAGGGGCACTGGCTCAGGTAAATGTAATTTGAACTTTTCCAAAGGGATAAATTGGTGTTCAGCTGGCAGTATCCTTACTACCTGCTCTCACTAGAGGTGTGCGGATGCTGGATGCTGCTTCAGTGTGATGCCTTTTAATGGTGAACAACGGTATAGTTAATTATCCGTCTGGTTGAAAGGCTTAGCGACTGCACAAGACAACCACTTTATGCTGTTCCAGTTCTGTGACCTTATCTTTTCTGTATGTGTGTGTGTGTGTGTGTGTGTGTGTGTGTGTGTGTGTGTGTGTAGGCCTACGCTACAGATGTGTGTGTCCCTCTGTCTCGACTGCCACAAATCATTGTGGAGACAAAGGAGGACCTGATTGAAAACAAGCTTACAGGCAAGCAGAAATATTTGTGTTTTCACTGAAGCTGACTCAGGACTCTTTTTTTTTTCCCCCAAATGCAATGTTTACTCAGTTTTCTTTGAGTGCAAGTCTTTTTTTTGGTACATTGGTGTGTTTGGTATTTTCCTGCCGTGAAGGAATGCACTCATTGCCTTTTTTTTTTAGTAAGAGGAAGAATTTGTTTTCACTTTAAAGTGCATTATCACACTAAAATGACTCAGAACACTTTGCAAAAGACAGAAAACAGCAGAACTGATAGATCACAAATGGAAGGGAAGACCTTGGAATAAGAAAATAAACTAAAAATCATTTTGTATGTTTTCCAGTATAACAATTGTCAGTTCTGTCTACCTTCAGGTCCCATAGCAGGTCATGTAGGAGATGGTAACTTCCACTGTCTGATGGTGGTGGACCCCAACAACCCAGAGGAGCTGCACAGGATGTACCTGTTCACTGACAGGTTGGCTAGGTAATGCTTGTCTCAACCTCTCGCCTCTCTTATACTCTGACAGTAATCCTCTACCACACAGGAAATCAAGTTGGGATCAAGTCAGAGAATATTTTCATCCTTACTTGACCCATTCACTGTACTGTCTTTATAGCTGACTGTAACATAGAATTCAACTTCTCAAGAAATATTAGGTGAAAGTTCAGATTTAATACTGACTTCAAATTTTTACACCAGCAACAATGCAGACCGGAATTTCTTCATTATCATAAAAACACTAATAGCAGTTTCTTAAGGGTTGTTCAAGTGTGTATGCTTCATGCTTCAGTAAATGTAAAGCCCTAAAGCCAATCAGGTAGACAGGACTCACTGCTCCCTTTTTGCAACATTTCTGTGTTATCTTCTGTCATTCACTCTTCAGCACTTTCCTCTTCTCCCTGATTGTCCCCACACTTGGCCTAATCATTTTCACTCTGCTCACCTCCTCTCAGAAGAATTCATCTCTGCTTTGACATCACGCTCTCACCAACATCTCTTAGCTGATATTGATTTCAGAGGATTAAACTTAGTGTACTGGATATTGAGCAGACTGTTGAAAACTAATATCACCATAAATGGTGAGTTTTGCAGAATGCCCACACAGGCTTCTCAAAATCTGTTTTGAAACCCTGTGAAAACCACAGGCTGATCATAGTAGATCCCACAGGGTAATGGCACTGAGGCAAATAGACTTCAGTGGTCTGGGCTTTGGAGTTGTCACCCAGATGGAAACATACATTTTATACAGAATTGCTTGTTTATGCATTAGATCAGCAATTGTTGAAAATGTGTAGGTATACAGCACATTTTGAAATGGTTGTGGTTAGAGACAGCTGTGGTTTTATGCAAAAGATTGTCTTAATTGATGCTTAATTTGTCAATTATGAGGTGCTAGAATATCACTCAGTGACAGACCCAACATGTCAATGAAGGTCCCAGAATGAAAACATTTCCTCAGTGACCAATGCGTTTGCATAGTTTCCACATTAAGGAGCAGCTTAAGGCAAAACATTATTTGTTGTGTATGTAGTGACCAATAAATCACATAAGAAGAAACGCATTTGCAAATGTGAGTTATAGATGTCAAGTGCAAGTGATGCTAAATGCATTAGGACTCTTATCTTCATTTACAACAGCCCATAACGCAGTCATGGGGAAGGAGTCCTCTGTCATGTTATTTCCAGTTTTGCCTCAGTCCTATGTCCATTTGAAATCCATTTGTAGGTTTTATAACTGGCCTGTTTAGCCTCTGATTTCTGACTAGCTTCTCCCTGCTGTGACTTGAAATACTTTAGTATCTTTTTCGCATTTTCGCTCCATGGCTAACATAATGTTACAGTGAATGTGCACCTGACCCAGTGTTACCTGCGTGGGCTGGTTACGTTGTGACATACTTAGCCTAACTCCCTGTTTTACCAAAATGATTAGATCTTGGACTTTTTATGTATTATTCATATATTAAGCTTCTTTCATATGTAAATGAGATGCCCGGTTAATCAAAATAGGTCATAATTTGAGAGGTTCCGAATCTGGATCTGGCTTGTTCTGGTACAAATTAACCCCTGGTCTTAATGGTTGCTTTGTTTTATATTAACATTTGAACAGAGGTTCATTTTGATGTGTGTTTGCTGCAGGGGCTGTGTTTTTTTTTTTTGTTTTTTTTTATTTTATTTTTTTTGTTATTCAAAAATCAAGAAAACGTGATCTGCCCAGAGGTGGTTGAACTTTTGCATACAGCTATAGACAAGGTTTGAGGTGTTTGAAGTGGAGCACTTTTAATAGCGGGATGTCTTGTTAGTTCAAGGGCACACTTACAGTAGGCCTGCTCAGTCAGATACTGGGGGGAGTTAACAGATACCTCTCTATTAACAATTCATTCCAAAGATGGTAAATGGTCTTATACTTGTATAGCGCCTTTCTATGCTTTTTTTTTTTTTTTTACAGCACACTCAAAGCGCTTTCACATTATTCGGCCATTCACCCATTCGCACTCCCAAGCACTCACGCATTCACACACCGGTGACATCACCGGGAGCAACTGGGGGTTCAGTGTCTTGCTCAAGGACACCTCGACATGTTGACTTGACAAGCCAGGAATCGAACCGCTAATCCTCCGGTTAGGAAACGACGCGCTCTACCTCCTGAGCCACAGCCGCCCCCCGAAGATGTATTTGTTCCAGCGACCCCGGGCTCATGGCTGTCTGCAGACCATTGCTCTTGTGGAACAGTTTTTACTCTGACAGAGGAGGTTAAATAAAGATTACTGGTTTTGACTCAGCAGCTATCTTGCCATGTATGCCTGGTGTAAATACTGGTGTTAAAGTTAACCAATTCTCATGGATAAATTTTGCTTCCTTTATTGAATCCTCTTATCATGTAGGTTCCATAGGAATTAATGGAATGTTATTGGTGCAAAATTCAGCTGATTTAAATCCTGGTGTATCCAGGCCTCTGAATCCTTTTGTTGTAAGTCAAGTCCACCAAAAGTTATATATTCCATGTGTCCATATAATAATGCTTAGTGAACTGCCCCTCTATGTATAGAGTTAGTAAGTCAGTGGTCATGACATGCACTTGGCTTTTTCCACATGGAGAAATGAGATATCACAGTAGTGTTGTCAAATATACAGTATGTGTATATATACTTTGATACACATTGATTCTGAGTATTTGAAAAAGTTTTAATATTCATTTCATATTATTTCATTTCAATATTCATATTCATTTTCTGTAGTACTGAAACACAGATACCAGCTGCGGACAGCAAGTTTACACACACAGCTGCGGTGCCCACAGCATATTTCATAGTACTCAGATTGTTTACTTTACTAGGGGAAGCGACAGTGCGGTGGGATGAGCAGTTGTCTCCCAAGTAGAAGGCTTAAGGTTTGAATCTCGGTGTCTGCAGTCCACATGTCGAAGTGTCCTTGGGCACTGGTGGCCCTCGATGGTTAGAGCAATTGGTTGAGTTGGCGCTGCAGATAGCTGCCTAGGTTCTGTACCGAAAACAAATTCCTTGTGTGCAACATACTTGGCCAATAAAGGTGATTATCCTTATCCATCATACTTAAGTAGAAGTGGCACTACCACAGTGTAAAAATACTCTGTTACAAGTAAAAGTCCTGTATTCAGAATGTTAAGTAAATGTATATTGTACATGTATTTTGGGTGTGAAGTTGAAGTGTTGTGTAGCATAACTCAGATTTTCTGACTGAACAGGTTTGACATGTATGAGGCTGAAAGTGGTCAAAATGGAGATAAGGTGTGAAAACAGTTACAGGCCTTCTTGGATATTAATTTAAAAATGGTTCAATTTAGGTGCAGTTAAGATGAAGTTACAAATCATTGCAGCTAGAGTATATATTAGAGGTTTGTTTTATTTTTATTTTTGGTTTACTTTTAAAAATTGTGATAGCAGTAACATCCCACATTTAAAAACAGGGTCTGTTTGCAATACTGTGCACACAATCAGTTTTTGCAGTAGAATAACATGATGTGCTTTCCCTCTAGGCGAGCCCTGGCTATGGATGGTACATGTACAGGGGAGCATGGAGTGGGTTTGGGGAAGAGAGCCCTGCTGTGTGAGGAGGTGGGACCCATGGTTATCCAGATCATGCAGGGTCTCAAGGCCACCCTCGACCCAAATAACCTAATGAATCCTGGGAAAATCCTGCAGTAAAGAGCCCTCTAAACAGTATTTTAGTCACTAAAACAGGGATTTTTGTCATGAGCATATTGTAGATAGTAGTGTTTGCTATTAAAACAGTACTAGATGAGACTTGGTAGACGGGGATCACCCAACAGTGAACAGGAAGAGATTGCATATAAAACTGTGATTGTTTTATTGGTGGTGTTTTGTTTTCCATCAGGTACAGCCAGTGGTCACCATTAATGATGCATTCTTTTACCGTGTGATTAAAAAAAACAAATGAATCAAGATCAAAAATGCTTTCTAATGGAGTGTGGCAGCAGTCCATTGATGTCTGCCTCACTTTGTGGCTTTTACATGAGGAATTCTATGTCTGACTAATCCATCAGAATACTATGCCTATTCTTTTTAATGACTGATAATAATCATATTAAGGTTTACAATGAAGACGTGGAGAGGGAGGCCTGAATGGATCTCCATAAGTGTCATTTCTAACACTACATTAAGAAGTGTTAAACTGCCTAATTCTCATAGAAAATGGAGAGGACATCCTCAGGCATCATAAAATATGAAGGACCACAACTGTCATGGAAATAAGAGATTTAATTGGACAATAAAAACTGAAATTAATAAATGATTTTAATTTATATTTCAATGGGCAATAAAATATTTAAAAACATTTACAAATGAAATATTAATCTATTAATAAATGCTTAAAGTTTAAAAGAGAATGAATGAACTCCCCATTAAATTGTGGAATTTTAAAATCTATCTGAAAATGCATTTTGCTACTCCTAAATTGTGCATGTCAAATTTTGAAGCTGTTACATAAAGTCAGACAGTTTGGAAGAAATGTCAAAAGTGTCATTTGTCAAGGCAAACAACAAACAGCTTCATGGCAGCCCCTGCAGGAACACATGCCCCGGGACTTACTGTAATTGACTTAATCCAAAGTGGGAGGGCACACTGGGTTAAGAAGTCACAGATGGTTCCTCATATGGCATGTACAAGATGTATAGAGGTATGCTTATATGAACACGTATATATGTGCATTGTACATGCATATACGCTACGAGTTATAAGTTTGGACAGGTAGTGTATATTTTGTATCAATAGTTTTTAATACATATTGTATATTGTATTTTTTCTTCCCCTCTCTTCTTCGCATTTAGGTTATGGATTTCTGTTTCTTAGTTTTCCAATGTGTGTTCCTTGGCCCAGGCCCATGATCACTACTGAGACTGTGTTTGTGTTATTGTTATGCAAGTAATAATAAAACCTGTGATTATTAAATATGAAGTACTGCATCAGAGGGAAACTACAGTGCGGAATATGGATTTTAGACTTGCTGTATAGTTCCCCTTTACCATTCTGTAGCAGTGAAATACTTGGAAACATATTTTTATAAATGGCATCCAGCAATAAAATAATACTGCTGGATTCCTGTCATATAGTACAAGACAAACAGTAACTGTTTTCTCTTGCAAGACAAACTGTTCTTCAGAATGGTTAGCCTCTTTCTAATGGGGACACTCAAATAAGCTGTCGGGTTGCTTTTTTAAAAAGGTTCTATGGGCTTTAAAGTGGACAGACAAAGGGTGGCAGATTAGAATCCAGACTGTTTGTTTTCTGACTTGATTCAGTCCTGTAGTTACAGTGAAGAAGCAGTACTCTGCTCCCCCATAATGTGTCAGCAGCGCATTCCCACAGCTCAGTGGGAACAAACACTGTCATGTGCATCACATTAGAAGATGGATACATTAAAATGCCTTTTTGCTTGTGTAGTGCTATAAATATTGCACAGCTTACAGTCATTTAATAAATATTAAGAGTGAAATAATCTTTCTGTGTGCACAGCCACTGAAGTACAATAAAGTCTCTGTTAAATTCAAACTAGTATGTAATGATCTTCCAGCACGTGTGTTTTCTCTCAGAAAATTGTTTCAATCATAAATTGTCCGGTATTCTCATGTCTATTTCTTTTGTTTGCATTGGAACAGCACAAAAAAGCTGTGAATCAAATCAAATCTGACACATTCCACATGGAACTCCAAAAATGGTCTTGACAGAATTACTGACACCCTCAACTTAATATTTGGTAGCACACCTTTTGGACAAAATAACCAAAATCAATCCCTTCCTGTAACCATCAGTGAGTTTCTTCCTCCTCTCTACTGGAGGTTTGGACCCCTCTTCTTTTGCCAGCTGTTCCAGGTCTCTCAGATTTAAAGGGTTCCTTCTCCCAGCTGCTGTTCTGAGATCTCTCTGCCGGTGCTCTATGGGATTTAGATCTGGACCCATTGCTGGCCACTTTAGAACTCTCCAGGTCTTTGTCTAAAACCATTTCTGGTGCTTTCTGAAGTCTGCTTTGGGTCATTGTCCTCCTGTAAGACCCGTGACCTCTGACGGAGACCCAGCTTTCTGACACTGGCCCTACATTGGGCCCCAGAATTTATTGGTAGGCTTCAGATTTCATGTCATACACACAGTCAAGACATCCAGTGGCTGAAGCAGCAGAGCAACCCCAAAACATCAGTAAACCTCCACCATGTTTGACTGTAGGGATTGTGGTTTTTCTCTTTGAAGACCTCATTTTGTTTTCAGAAAATAGTATAATGATGTGCTTGATATGAAAAAAAAGCTCTATTTTAGTCTCATCTGTCCACAGGACATTCTCCCAGAAGGACTGTGGCTTCCTCAGGTAAGTTTTGGCAAACACCAGTCTGGCTTTTTATGTCTCTGTGCCAGCAGTGGGGCCCCTTGGGTCTCCTACCATAGTGTCCCTTGTCATTCAGATGGTGACAGATAGTGTGCGCTGACACTGTTGCACCCTGTGCCTGCAAGTCAGCTTCAATTTGTTTTGATTGAGGTTCTTTATCTACCATTCAAACAATTCTTTGTTGCAATCTGTCATCTATTCTTCTCTTTCGTCCACGTCCAGGAAGATTAGTTACAGCGCCATGGGCTGTAAACTTCTTGAACACGTTGTGCACAGTGGGTACAGGAACAGCCAGATCTCTGGAGATGGACTTGGACACTGTCCAAGCTTTTCCACTATTGTGGTTCTCACATCCTCAGACAATTCTTTGCTCTTATTTCTTTTCTCCATGCTCAGCGTGGTCCACATGACACAAAGGTTGTCAACTTTTCTCCATTTTAACTGGTTGAAAGTGATTTCTATGTTGCCAACACCTGTTGGTTGGAGTTTCATTACAGATTAAAGGAGCATTACAAGCGGGAAATACAACTATTTCTGATGATTTTGAAACTGTGTCAATAATTCTGTCCCGTCCATTTTCGGACGAAACAGAATATGTGTGGAATATGTCAGATTTGCCTTTTTTTCCTCTGCTTTTTGTGTTGTTCCAGTGCAAACAAAATATACTGCTCAAAAAAATAAAGGGAACACAACATAAGACATCCTAGATCTGAATGAATGAAATATTCTTATTAAATACCTTGTTCATTACATAGTTGAATGTCTTATTTTCCCTTGTGTTCCCTTTATTTTTTTGAGCAGTGTAATTAAACATGAGAATACCAAAGAATTTTTGATTGCAACAATTTTCTGGGAGAAGTGACACCTTATCTGACAGAAATGAAGTGGTACCAGTATTTTTGGCTATGACTGTATTTGTCCAGGCTGTATCTACCACTGAGCAGACCGAGGTCATGTCCTTAGTCCTCAGTATTTCTGGGATTTTAAGGGGTTTGTTGGCATATAGAAAATATAACTGCATGAATAAATCAAAGTTTTGTACTCATACTTGTAAAAATGTACCAAATAAATAAATAAATTAAAAATAAAAAAGTAAATACAATGATTTGTATATTGTAACTAATGTTTTTATTGAGGTTTTTAGATCCAATATGAGCCATTAATAACAAAATACAGTATTTTGAGATGCCAGGTTGTGAAAAATCCTTCTTGTATCATGGCTGATGTTTATCTTTGTTTTCTAATCTAATGCAGTTATAAATGTGGTCCATCAACAAATTTTGCGTTGTTTCTCACCATTAGGTTTGCAGTTCTACATGTTAATACATGGACAGGTTTTTCAGGAATAGCCCATTAGACAAATGAAAGGAGCTAAAAAAGATGTCAGTGCGTCCTGGTGGAGGATGAACCAACTCACACGTTGTTCCCATCAGTGGCTTATAGCTGGTCCACAAAGCATTAGCAAATGATTTAATGCATTTTGATAAATTCATTATACAATTTATAAGCTCTTAATAATTATTATTTGTGTTGAATTTGGAGCCTCGTTGTTTCTAAAATACTGTGCAGCCCTCCAGTTACTTTTGAACCTCTAAACTTTGATCACTGGGTTAGAAGGGCTGTAACTCTACCGATGTTTTCCTACTCAAGTTAAAGCTGAGAATGGGCACTTTAATGTAGTATTAGTTGTTTTATTTTGAATTGAACCTGCTGATGGAGAGAGCTTTAAGAACAAAACATTTTAACCATCTTTATGGTCTTAACAGTAATATAGTATATTACCTGTTTTCAGTGCGTGTTAAACCTGTACACTGTACAAGCACTCAAACTGAACCATCAGACAACAAAGTAGCCCAGCCTTGTAGTTCCTGTAGTAGTTGAAGTGTAGTGTATTATTAATGTTAAGTAGTTATTTACACATGCAAACTCAAAGTGTGTACACTGTCACTCCCATCTGATGGTGGCAAACCATCATACAACCACACACACCGAAGGGACAGCCACCAGGAGCAACTTGGGCTTCAGTATCTTACTCGAGGACATGTCAGCATGTGAACTGACTCTGTTTAGGAGATGACCTGCTCTACCTGCTATTTATATGTGTTTGTGTATGTGTGTGCACAAGGGAATTATTTACAGGTGTGCTGTCTGTGCAGATTCTCAGTCATCCAGGTCATAGTAAGCTGAAAAAACTTTCTAGGTTCGACCTAAAAATCTAGTCCAGTTGATTTTTTCTAAGTTTTTTTCAGTCTACAGGTGTGCTGTCTTTATAGCAGATTAAATTTACCCCTACTGTAGTGAGTGCTTTACCACAGTTTAACCTTATTGGTTAGCAAGGCGAAGAGGACTATACAAGACTGAATGTGTTATTGTGAAGAAACAAAGAGCCAAACAGAATACAGCCAGCCTAATTACACACACATGCACAATCACACACATACTATATACACACACAGGATTAGATAAGTAATCTCAAACAAAACATGTAAGCCAGTAATACCAGTAATTTAGCATAGGGTAGAAGAATCTGTGCATGACTTGGTAATGACAACAATATGCTGGCCTGGCTGAAAGCCTGACTGTGTGTGTGAGTGGGGCAGAAAGGATTATGAGTAGCTAATGGATACAGTGAGGAAGATCTATTTCTGGTCCTCAATTAACAGATTAATTAGGAAATATGCTTGAGTGGGGATTTCGTTTACTTTCAAATACAGTAAGTCGACACCTGCTTTTGGAAATAAATTGAATTATTCTTGTAGCTATTTGAACAATAATACATGCTAACAAATGTTTAAAAATAGTACAAAAGTAGGCTATATTAAAAAAATAGACTTTAACAGTTGTTCAACATGATACTCATACTTTTAGATATCTTGTAAATGGAGATACAAGTTTTCTGTGGATAGTCATTATTTTTAATCTCAAATTATGGTAAAAACTAGAATGGCCCATTTAGGATTAATTTGAGCTATAAAAGTTAGCCACCTGATGGCCACTGCCATGCCATTCCCAAAATGCTATTAAAGTAGTGTGCTGATGCTTTTTCTCTCTCCTCTATCCATTCACTCCAACCAGATGAGGCAGTATGACTGCCCACCAGGGTCAGCCCATGGCATGGGGGAAATAGGCAGTTGCCTAGGGTGCAAAATGACTGAGGGGGCGCCACATAAACGTTTTTTTTTTCTCGGAAGAGTGCCAGCTGTTTGTGACCAGCATGTGCTCCTACACCCATAAGCAAAATAATTACTGACAGTTAACAATTTTAGTACTGATCAATCTGTAGTGATTAAAATAATGTAAGAATAAAATAAAACTGACATCAATGAAAAACCACAAAATTTGAAAACATGTCATGTACTAATTTAAACATTTTCTGCTTCATGACGTAATTATAATGCATCATCATAACACACTGACAGTGCATGGAGCACGCAGTTAAAATATGTGCTCTGAAATTGCCATTTTTAAAAAATGAGTGAAAAAAGAAAATTATCAGGGGCACAAGGCAGGAAGCGACGCAAAGAAGAGGAACACAAAAAAGAACAATATAGATGTGGGTGGCACTGAGGATAAGTGTGACTATCCCAGTGAATGTGGCAGCTGCAGAGATGAGCTTTTCAAAGCCCAAGCTGATTAGGACCTACTTAAGGTCTACCATGGCCCAAGAGCATCTCAGTGGACTTGCTGTCATCAGCATCAATAATGATGTTTCTCAGAATATGTCATTTGATGCAGTCATTGATGACTTTGCTGCAAAGAAATACAGGCGTGTTCAGTTTTGAAACTGTTTTGTAATTCTGAATATAATAGTATTTTTTGCACTTTTTTGTTGATTTGCACTTTAATTTCTAATTAAATTTTTGTGTGATTCTTCAGGTGACTATAAGTCAAATTTATTATCACAAATTATTTACTACTTATTTATGTTAATACTTATCAGTATGTTATGTTCTACTAAAGTTTTGAAAAATGTGCATTTTCTGAAATTTGCAAGTTGCAGGGGGGGGTCTAAAATCTTGCCTAGGGCACCAACAGAGCCTGGGCCGGCCCTGCCACCCACCAAGAGCCCGGGTCTGTCACGGACCCGTCACTCCATGCAAATCAAACACCCGGCTCCGCAATTTCAGTGTATGGGCATGGCTATTATTATAAACCTATGACATCAGTAAACGATGGTTTCTAACATGAGTGACAGTACAGCACTAACAGACATAACAGTTACAGTATGCAGGCCCCTTAAAGGAACTAATAAGGGAACTGAAATTCACAAAATTTAAATATGCCACCAGAAATACATCTATAATAAGTGTGAGTGTAGCTATGTAGCCATAGCCTGCTACAGGTGCTGCAGATTTGAGACCATGATTCCACTTACCTTTCAATCATCTCTCTCATGTTTTTGCTGGATATGCCTTTAGCATGACCTGTTTTGGTTTATCTGTGCCCAAGTCATGGACATAGGCCTCAGTTTGCATGTGCAGTCCGCTTTCTTCTCCTTGGGTAAAGCTTGTGCTAGCACTGATACCTACACTACATTATGTTCAATGCTGACTGTGATTGTTTTTCTTGGAGCACTAGATGCAAGGTAGATTTAATCCACTTCTTTCTTTCTTTATCTTTGCAAAATAGTGGATAACACAATTAGCCATCTTCATCTACACCAGTACACACTCCTGCATACACCTAATGTGGTCATCAGACTGACCTTTCTTGATGTAATTATTAGTTGACACCCATCTACTTTTGCTGCTTTTTGCTCTTTTAAATGTATTTGTATTTTTTTTTCACAGACCACAGATGTTTTTGCATCACTTTTATTGCATTACACATAAAATGAATTTAGGAAATGTCTGGAAGGTCAATGGACAGGCCCAGCAATTTATTTGGGTAGGCACTGCCCCCTAAGTCCCACCCACAGCGATGGGTATGTTAGGTATTTTTAGTCAGATAGAAATTGGATAGATACTTTATGTATTAGAAATGTTTAGTGGAGATAGGATGTCTAGTTAGACTGTTAAATGCTATATTATTATTATGACATGTATAACTGTAGCCTTAGCCATAATATGTTCTTATGTTTAAGTCACGACATGTTACTAGAGTTCGTGAGAATGTTTTTAGCTACACACCACTTAATCAACAGACACACACACGTACATTGATTTGCTTCATGTTTTGACTACTGCTATGACCAGCTGCAAAGCTGGCAACAGAGACGTCTCGGTTGATGTTTCTGTGTAGTATGGGGCTAGCCCAACCGAGGTGATATAATGTATAGGCCTGGTGGTTTCAGGATCTTTCATCTTCCATCTGCCTGCGAGCAGTAATGTTGATTTTACCTGTGATCCTTTGAATAAATCAGCACTGTTTTGAAGTTACTTGGACTGTCTTGTCTCTCAGAGTTAGCAATGGTAAGAAGAACCAAAGACCACAACTATATGGTCTATTGGAGGTTTCTTCCATTAAAGGGAGTTTTTCCTCCACACTGTCACCAAGTGCTTGCTCAAGGGAGATTTATTGGATTTTCCTCTATAACACTGTAAGGTCTAAACCTTACAGTGCCCTAAAGTGCCCTGAGATGATTTTTGTTGTGTTTGGCACTATACAAATAAAACTGAATTGAACTGAAGTTGTTCACTCAGCATAAGTGCCATAAAGTGTTAGCTGTGGGCTTCCTTGTGCTACCGTGTTTTTGGGCTGATAGAGATGGGCACTCGAGTTGGCGACTTGTGCTTGAGTTACATTCAAATCCCACATAAATCAACTTCTGACTTGAATGGCAACTTGTACCTACAATTACTGACTCCCCACTTGACTCGTTTTGGGAATAATGATTTTACAACCCTTCTTAATGCATCATAGTGGGCATCTGGTGACTACATGTGAGGTGTGACACCCAAACATAACACTAAAGTCCAACTTCAGCCCCATGAGCAGAGTGACTTCCTGTTAGAGCCCTGCACACACAAATGAGTTAAAATATTATGCTCTTCCAGAATTTCAGATGTTATTGGACTGAATTGATCAAACTGTAATAAAATGACACAATTTGTGTGGTTTATTGTGGAAATAAATAAATAAATAAAATCACCATTCTACAAATGCTCCCTTTTCAGTGACTGTGTTTGGACCCTTCCTGGGGGCTGGCCAGCTTGGACATGCCATTGATTTAATTCAGGCTCAATTGCTTTTATCTTGGTATCTCAGATGTCCAGACCATAATTCTGAATTTTAGCTTCTGAAGTACCAAGCATATCTGAGCAAGAGCCTCTGACAACTTGAAAATTGCTTTTAAATTTTAGGCACATTAATTGAATCTGAATACATTTACAGTAGAAATAAAGTGCTTTTGAAATTGCATAGCCTAAAACTAACTTCTTTATATTTTATAAAATGAAATTCAGCCCCCATAAATGAAGAAATGTTTCAGATTCTCCAAATCAAATATTTCAGTGCAATAACTTCAGAGATTTAAAATGTCATTATGTTGCTTATATAATTAAAATGATTGGCCATGATTTGCTTCCATACTCCCAGTTCGGTCTCCTATCCTGTCTGTATTTAGGATCCGAGCTTGCGCACTGAGCGCCTCCATTGTCTGGCCAGAAGCAGCGGCGGCGGCAGAGCGGAGAGGAACGGGACGCCGATCCGCGCGCATGGGAGCGGCTTTACTGTGACCCCGATCTCCGGGTAAAAAGTGACAGCTGATTGGAGACCACCGAACCGGACGGCCGCGTTGTTTTTTGGCTTAAAGACATACCGTCGATTTTGGCGGTCAGACAAACAGCAACAGTTGTCACGATGTCTGAGATCAGATGAGGCGAGAGCAGCGGAGTGAACATTGCGGCGCTGCTGTGAACTGGGCCGGGGCGGGATAAACGTGTTGCTGCCGTGTCTCGTCTGCGATGATACAGCCGTCTTAATTCTCTGGAACAGCGACGGGAGTGCGGTGTACATTTGTTTGTCATTGTGGGCTTTCGGCGTCGTTCAGCCGTCCCCCGGTTGTGTCGAGGTTTTGTCCGGGGGTGAGGTAAATCCAGACGTCAGGGCTGGCTCATGTTCCGCTCAGCAGGGAAACGGGCTGTTGAGTCTGCAGAGAGTCAGAGCTGACGAGCCTGCTGAGACACACGGACAGACAGACAGGCAGGAAGGCCGAAAGACACACAGGAGAGAGGAGGGGGGCGACAGCCTGTTTTGGCTACCTCGACC